ACAGCGCCGGAGAAGATGGCTGCCGTTTTACAGCCCTCTAACCAATTGTACTATTATGTGTGTTTTTCCGCGTTATTTGTAATTTATTTTGTACATAATGTTTCTGCCATCGTCTCTTATAACCAAAGAGAGCTTCTGGATATCAGGACAGCGATTACTCACCTAGCATTGGACGAAGATTTTTTCTTCAACGAGGCGTTCGCGAAGGATTTCCTACAGACACCCGACAAGGCCCAGATCCCCGTCATTCGCGTGAGGAAGAGACGGAGATATCGTGGACGCAGATCCGGGTGCCTTGTAAGGATCCGACGGCGAGCGAGTAAACTGCCTCTCCCATCAATCCTATTAGCCAACGTTCAATCTTTTGAGAATAAAATTGACGATTTAAGATTACGGTTATCCTACCAACGGGACATTAAAAACTGTAATATCTTATGTTTCACGGAGTCGTGGCTGAACAACAACAATGATAACATTCAGCTAGCAGGCTATACGCTACATCGACAGGATAGAACGGCAGACTCCGGTAAGACAAGGGGTGGCGGTCTCTGTATATTTGTAAACAACAACTGGTGCACAAAATCAAATACTAAGGAAGTCTCGAGGTTTTGCTCGCCTGAGGTAGAGTATCTTATGATAAGCTGTAGACCACACTATTTACCAAGAGAGTTTTCATCTATATTTTTCATAGCTGTCTATTTACCACCACAAACCAATGCTGGCATTAAGATTGCACTGAATGAGTTGTACAAGGCCATTAATCAACAGGAAAACGCTCATCCAGATGCAGCGCTCCTAGTAGCCGGGGACTTTAATGCAGGGAAACTTAAATCCGTTCTACCTAATTTCTACCAGCATGTTAAATGTGCAACCAGAGGGAAAAAAACTCTAGACCACCTTTACTCCACACACAGAGACGCATACAAAGCTCTCCCTCGCCCTCCATTTGGCAAATCTGACCATAACTCTATCCTCCTGATTCCTGCTTATAAGCAAAAACTGAAGCAGGAAGCACCAGTGATTCGGTTAATAAAAAAGTGGTCAGATGACGCAGATGCTAAGCTACAGGACTGTTTTGCTAGCACAGACTGGAACATGTTCCGGGATTCTTCAGACAGCATTGAGGAGTACACCACATCTGTCACTGGCTTCATCAATAAGTGCATCGATGATGTCGTCCCCACAGTGACCGTACGTACATACCCCAACCAGAAGCCATGGATTACAGGAAACATCCGCACTGAGCTAAAGGGTAGAGCTGCCGCTTTCAAGGAACGGGACTCTAACCCGGACGCTTATAAGAAATCCCGCTATGACCTCCGACGAACCATCAAACAGGCAAAGAGTCAATACAGGTCTAAGATTGAATCATACTACACTGGCTCTGACGCTCGTCGGATGTGGCAGGGCTTGAAAACTATTACAGACTACAAAGGGAAGCACAGCCGCGAGCTGCCCAGTGACACAAGCCTACCAGACGAGCTAAACCACTTCTATGCTCGCTTCGAGGCAAGCAACACTGAAGCATGCATGAGAGCACCAGCTGTTCCGGACGACTATGTGATCACGCTCTCCGTAGCCGATGTGAGTAAGACTTTTAAGCAGGTCAACATTCACAAGGCCGCAGGGCCAGACGGATTACCAGGACGTGTACTCCGAGCATGTGCTGACCAACTGGCAAGTGTCTTCACTGACATTTTCAACATGTCCCTGACTGAGTCTGTAATACCAACATGTTTCAAGCAGACCACCATAGTCCCCGTGCCCAAGAACTCTAAGATAACCTGCCTAAATGACTACCGACCCGTAGCACTGACGTCTGTAGCCATGAAGTGCTTTGAAAGACTGGTCATGGCTCACATCAACAGCATAATCCCAGAAACCCTAGACCCACTCCAATTTGCATACCGCCCCAACAGATCCACAGATGATGCAATCTCTATCGCACTCCACACTGCCCTTTCCCACCTGGACAAGAGGAACACCTACGTGAGAATGCTATTCATTGACTACAGCTCAGCATTCAACACCAAAGTGCCCTCTAAGCTCATCACTAAGCTAAGGATCCTGGGACTAAACACCTCCCTCTGCAACTGGATCCTGGACTTCCTGACGGGCCGCCCCCAGGTGGTAAGGGTAGGTAACAACACATCTGCCACACTGATCCTCAACACGGGGGCCCCTCAGGGGTGCGTGCTCAGTCCCCTCCTGTACTCTCTGTTCACCCATGACTGCATGGCCAGGCACGACTCCAACACCATCATTAAGTTTGCCGACGACACAACAGTGGTAGGCCTGATCACCGACAACGATGAGACAGCCTATAGGGAGGAGGTCAGAGATCTGGCCGTGTGGTGCCAGGACAACAACCTCTCCCTCAACGTGACCAAGACAAAGGAGATGATTGTGGACTACAGGAAAAAAAAGAGGACTGAGCACGCCCCCATTCTCATCGACGGGGCTGTAGTGGAACAGGTTGAGAGCTTCAAGTTCCTTGGTGTCCACATCACCAACGAACTATCATGGTCCAAACACACCAAGACAGTCGTGAAGAGGGCACGACAAAGCCTATTCCCCCTCAGGAGACTAAAAAGATTTGGCATGGGTCCTCAGATCCTCAAAAAATTCTACAGCTGCACCATCGAGAGCATCCTGACTGGTTGCATCACCGCCTGGTATGGCAACTGCTTGGCCTCTGACCGCAAGGCACTACAGAGGGTAGTGCGTACGGCCCAGTACATCACTGGGGCAAAGCTCCCTGCCATCCAGGACCTCTATACCAGGCGGTGTCAGAGGAAGGCCCTCAAAATTGTCAAAGACTCCAGCCACCCTAGTCGTAGACTGTTCTCTCTGCTACCGCACGGCAAGCGGTACCGGAGTGCCAAGTCTAGGTCCAAAAGACTTCTCAACAGCTTCTACCCCCAAGCCATAAGACTCCTGAACAGCTAATCATGGCTACCCGGACTATTTGCACTGCCCCCCCCACCCCATCCTTTTTACGCTGCTGCTACTCTGTTAAGTAAGTATTTATGCATAGTCACTTTAACTCTACCCACATGTACATATTACCTCAACTACCTCAACTAGCCGGTGCCCCCGCACATTGACTCTGCAACGGTACCCCCCTGTATATATAGCCTCCCTACTGTCACTTTATTTTACTGTATATATAGCCTCCCTACTGTCACTTTATTTTACTTCTGCTCTTTTTTTCTCAACACTTTTTTTTTTGTTGTTGTTTTATTCTTACTTTTTTTGTTTAAAATAAATGCACTGTTGGTTAAGGGCTGTAAGTAAGCATTTCACTGTAATGTCTGCACCTGTTGTATTCGGCGCATGTGACCAATAAAATTTGATTTGATTTGATTTGATAATTTGCAAATAAATTCATTAAAAATCCAACAATGTGATTTTCTGGAGAAAAACAATTCTAAATTTGTCTGTCATAGTTGACGTGTACCTATGATGAAAATTACAGGCCTCGCTCATCTTTTTAAGTGGGAGAACTTGCACAATTGGTGGCTGACTAAATCCTTTTTTCCCCCCACTTTACAAGCAAAACCACATGCACAACCCCCACACACACATACCCTACAGCAACAAGTTCACCTACTACCTCTGCTCTGCTGGCATTTTCTATAATTCCTTGAAGGGAATTTTCCTGCCAGATGACCTGACTTGTTCCCTCTAAGCCATTTTATTCTCCCACGTTATTTGTTTTGTTATTGTTCAGACACCCACACTCTCAACTGTCGTGTCTCTCTGTGTTTTAGACTCTCTGTGTGGCGGGCATGCCCCCTGGGACTTTTTTTTTGCAGAACGAGCTCTATTTTGGTGGCCTCTGGTACATTCTAATGCCTTCATTCAATCCGAAATACACAGCTAAATTATGGAATACTTTAATGACTTTACCTCCCAGGGCCCGGTTTCCCGATGGAATTTAGGCTTACGTGTGTTTTAACTATACATCTTTCATACAACGACCGAAGATGTAAGATGCGTTTCCCAAAACACCACGCAGAAACCACGCCAAGTGCGTCGTTCGAGCATGTGTCAATATGGATAGGATCAAAAGAAATGCAGCGATTCGATTCGGTTCACTGAACAGATCCATTCAAAAAGAGCCGTTCGTTCGCGAACAACCCATCACTAGGCTACACTATAACGGTCACTGGCAAGTCTCGACATGGGCTACGAATCCTAGGAAAATACAAACAATATATTTGGTTTCCTTGTCCCGATGCGGTACAATGGACATATAACTACGTTGTATTATTTATGAATAGCAAAGGGATATAGGAGATTGACTTTATTCAGTCAGTTTGACACCTTTTATAAACAACTGACTCCGTGGCTGTATAGGCCTATGAAACATGCAATAGAAAAATGAAGTGGATTTCAACTCATTGTTACCACCTTACATGGGACGTGTTAATTCACTCACAGGAGACGAAAAAGAAGCATCATGCTTTCCCTCATCCGTGAAAAGATATTAGACTGCAGCCAACCACAGCGTACAAAAATAACCGGTACTGAGAGCTGGGACAGACAGCAGACCATCAGTTTCCCTGTCATCGCTCGCTTTTTTGACTGACAGGTGCCTGTCCTATCAATAAATCACTAGAAGATGCATGTCGTTCATTCTAGCGGGAGAAGGCTATACAGACTTTTGACTTGCGAATTTAAACCTTTCAATGAAAAGCCTAGTTAGTTTATGAAGTAGCCGGCTTACAATGAGTCTTATCGGCTATTTAGCCAACGACCGGCACTTATGGAAAACACTAACACATTCATATGATTAGGCACAGTCTAAAAATTATTATATTCTAGAAGAATGTGAACAAGTCCATTATTTTCAGATTGTAAAATACAGAAAAAGGGTAAAATAAATTGTTATATCCTTGACTGTACATAATGAATCGAGAGAAAGTAACAAAATTAGAACAACCCACTAAAACATGAAAATCATTCAAGTAACTGAAAGGATTACTGCAAAGCTAGATCTGTAAGGTGCAGACAACAGTGAAGTACAAGAGCGAGGGAAGACTAGCACAAGCCCTAGACCTGCTCCGCTTCATCACAGCGATGCCCACCTGGGCATGACGAACGGTGCGTCCGTGGAGCTTGTACCCATCCTGTTTCACCACAGTAACGGTGCTGGGTTCCCCTCCCTCAGCAGGAGTGTGGCACACTATCTCGTGCTGGTAGGGGTCGTATTTAGCCCCAACAGGGCTCATCTTCTCCAGGCCGTGCTTTGTGAAGATCCCCTGCAGCCTCTGGCCCTGCAGGTCGTCTGTCGTCTGCTCTAGCAGGTCAGCCACCTCAACCAGTTCACGGCAGAAACTCTGGATCCCTGTTTGAGTGGTGGTAGGGGAGAGGAATTAGAACTGCACAAAGTAGAGCAGTGGTATTCAAAGTCGGGGTCTCAGGGGAATTGCAGTGGGGTATATTGTTTTGGGAAACAAAATTAAGACCACAGATTATTGTATGGGACAATATACAAACTTTTTTGAGAACGATCATTGGGGGAAAAAAACATTTATTGAGTAAATGTATTTTGTAGTAAATGTATTTTCTTTTAATTTTGATAAGTGAGATGAAAATGTTGTGAATTGAAGGTTATTTGTTGATGTAAAAATAGGAATTGACAGATTTTAAGGTTGTGTCATTAGATTTGGGATGGGTTGCGGCAGATACTCTGCGGGAAAAAAATTGGGGTCCCCAGAAATTCAGGCGAAAATGAATACCACTGAAGTAGATGGACCATACTAAGTATGATGTCAGGGTAGGAGACAAAAACATCTCACCAAAAAGCTTGGCATCTTGGACAAACTTCTGAGTTCTTTTTCTAACGTTGTCAGAGTCAGCCAGGACTCTTTTGTATCTTTCCTGAAATACAATACAGTATAGTACATCATGCATGATTGATATTATGTATTTCCAGGGAAAAATCTAAACAAATCTATGCCGGCTGTGAGTAGCACCAATCAAGACAAAGAGTCTTTCTCCTTACTCTCACCGCCATCGAGGCTCTTACCGTGAGCTCCCTGACCTGCTCCTCCAGCTTGCTGGCCCTCATCTCCAGCAGTCTTACATTGGTCATCGCATGGCTGGAGTCATCTGTGGTGTCATCACCATGGCAATCATCACCTGTTCCCCACTGCTTTGCCGCTGTGCTGTAAAGGCCAATCAAGGCCCTAGAAAGCAAAATATGGAGGAGGGAAAACTATTAAATTGTGCACCTAGCACGAGACCATTTGGCTAGTGGTGTTTCTGTACTGTAGGCTACAATGTAGGCCTACATGTAAATGGCAGAGTTCGCAAAACTAATGCCCTCCCGATTGATACAAATCATCATGAAATCATTCTACTTTGCCTACTTTGCAGTCAACATTTAGTTGAAGTTTTTTTGGGAAAGTCTTTAGAAATTAATTCAAACAGCACACGATGACTGAATTGCGCTTCGCTAAGATTCAACCAAGACTAATCATTTTCAATACCTTGTTTGCATACCATTGTTGCCTTAGTTACCATTTACTGGTAGATAGTTGAAACGTCTTTCCTACCCTACTGGCTACCTTTGTCGTTCAATTCTGTGAGCCGCTCCATGCAACAACCAGTTGAGAGCTGCGCTCTTGCTGCTGTAGTGTCGAGTAACGTTGCTAATTATGCTGTGATGACCAAGGAGGAGCCGCTGACGCTGTATTTTCATCATAAGGTTTATTCATAACAAAGGGTTACAGCGTCGATTTACAGATACCTGCAGATACCCAGAGAATAATCGCCCCATCTCTAATATGATTATTCTGACCTCTTCTGTCCTAACTGTGGTATATATCCTATGTAATCTGATATGGGTGTTCCCCACAGACCAATCACCTGTCTCCACACAACAGACTTCCTCTGTTCTATGGTGTGTCACTCTAAAACGGCTCCCTCTAAAACTGAATAAACCTCCTCTCAGGTTCCACTTGAAAACATTAGCAAAGTCATAATTCTTCATACACTACATATTCCCCCCTTCGAGACACATTAAGTCTCGAAACCAAAAAGAATAGGATTATGACAAGTAACAATTTCTCTTATTGATTATTTTTAACAATAAACCCAAAACACTTTTCTATGGAGTGTAAATACATTTCTATGAAATATGAACAAATCTTTATGGAGTGTGAGAGCGAAAAACCTGTCTGGCAGCCTTCTTTCCAAATATCCATCCATCAATCAAGACAGTAAAATTCTCTCACGGCCCCTCTGCCCCAGGCAACCACTTAAGTACTCCAGATCAATTCATAAATCTTTATCAATACATTTGAAACTATGATGCAACTAAATACACATGAAAGCCTCAGCAAACAAAATACTATCCAAAATGTCCACACTCAGGCTGGTCGACCCATCGGACCCTACTGTGGATTCTCTATATCCCTGCCTAGACTCCATGTCCCTAAGCATTCACGAAATAAACAAAAACATCTGAGATCCCCACATGTATCCAATAACATCAAATATCATTCTACAAAAATTAATACCAAAAGAATATGACACAAATGATGTATTACACATGCAAATATGTCTATATATCATTGCAGACACTGGAATGTAGTCCACTACACTTCATCTCCTCAGCAGTGTCGACTTCCAATGCATCTTCGATGATGGAATCGGAACATTTCCACACCTTCCTTGTTACATCTCCTCCAGTCCCTTCATATTCTCCTTTCATATTGTCCCTTCATATTGTCCTTGTTTGAGTATTTCAATCTCTACATATTCCCCCAAATGCTTCTGGAAGAAAAGAAAAGACCAAACAGTATATTTTGCAAAACAACACATTCAAATTAAAACATCAATATCAACTAAGAATAAAAAAATGATATATAAAATGAATCACATTCTATTCCCCCCTTTGATTCATAACAAAATACTAAAATCACACTAATATTGAAACCTCTGAAATCTATCTATCAATACTCCTTTGAGTCTTGACAGAAGGTTAAACCCTCTTATCGTTTCATTTGCAAAACCCCTCAAATTATAGTTAATATTATCTATGTTATCTTCCCAAAATTTTACACCATACCATGGAAAAATCCCCACTTCTCTCTTAGACTTATCCTCCAATGATAGGCTTCCCAGACTATGAAACTTCTCTCTTTCAGAATCAGATTTATCTCTTTCCCCTTTGCTTCCCCTATTTTTATTTTAAAACCTCATATGGAAGCTTCAACTTCAACATGTAACAACATCCTATCCATCCATAGGTAAGAATATATACTCTCACCACACAAACCCCTCAATAACTCCTATCCATCATATATTTTATTAGAACAAAAACAGCTTTTAGCCCTCACTGGTTTCCTCCAATGCTTCATGAAGCGCTGTTAACTGATTTTCCTTCCTATCTAACAAATTCACCTAGGTTAATTCATTTAACCAATAACACTTAAACCTAGGCCTAAACAAATGTTTCCACAACTACAAGGAAAATGAGCTGTATCACCCATCCTAACCCTAATAACAGTCTTTTCCTCTAAAATTGGTGCTGAAGCTATTGGCTCCCTTGTAATCAAATGTGATATATTTATAGCTTTAATAACTGTCATTGTTGAAGTAGTTAAATTGCTTCTCACTGTTGTTATAATATACTAAAGTGTTGATGTCATTGTCGTTGTTTCATCTATTTTCCCCTAAGCTTTGAACTCTTTACTTGTACTTCCATCTATCACCACTAGTGTCACTACATTCACTCTCAGTCCCAACTCTAATCCCTCACTTTCAAACTTTTCATTATAAAAAATACACTTACAATTACCTTGATCTTCCTGCTGGGAATTGTAAATATAGATACTCAATCACCCTCAATCTTCTCTTATCATTCAGCAACGCATACTTTCTCAATGCAACTGCTCCTAACAGATCTAAATTCCTACCATATTTACTTCCCACTGAACTCTAAATTTTTCCTTCACCACTGTTCTCTCTCTCTTACTACTAGCATTGAAACTTAGCTTACTGTCCTAGAGTTCCTTCAACCCTAGTTTTCTTAACTTTTTAATCTAATCTTTTCTCCTAACTTTTAAAAAACCCATTACACGGATTTATTCACAAAATCCTTTACCACAAATTTTTCAATATGTGATCGGGAAGTCCCCACCTGCTTATGATTTCTTTACACACAGACTTGGCAAACGATTGAGCATCTTTTAGCCTAGTTTGAAATCTCTTGGTGTAGGAATGTAACCAAGAATAACAGTCACCCTTTTAACATTATTTTTCAAACAGATTGTCCCATAGGAAGGAGGACAATCTTTTCAAGCAAATATGATTCCCAAAAACCCTACTCTTTTATAATCTTCTACCAGACAGCCGTCTGGTGTACATCTTATTGTACAGTTCAACTTACACAATGCTTCTCTTCCCAACAATGCAATAGGTATATGTTCTGATACCAGTATGGGTATTTTAATTCTCTCGATTTTTACAGCAGAGCTCAATTGGTTCCTTAAGAGTAATCAACTGTTTTACTCTCTCAAATCCCTATCCTAATTAGTTAATTTTACATAGTGAGATGTGTAACCTCTTCAGGCTGAACACAGATAAAAGCTTTTCCACTATCCGCTATCACTTCTCATAGTCCTTTGTTTTCACTTCAATTGTTGGATCTTTTCCTAACTGGTGCTACCAGCTGACACCCCCCTTTCTGATCTTCTAGGCACTCCTAGAATCCTTGCTCATTTAAGGGTTCACCTGTACTCCAGATGATCTTCACTTGCTCCTGTATCTTCCTCTGAAATTCCTTCTTTCCAGAAACTATCTATGGATATGAAACAACTTGTACCACTTGTTGTGGCTGGTACAATTGCATTTGACCTTGTTCAGTTGAAGCTATGGCAGTGATTGTTGATTTGTTTCACACTGATTCTTCATAACCAAAGCTTTTCTTCTCCTTCTTCTTCTCCAGCCAGTTGTATTTCATCAAGCTTTCTGAGAGTTTCTTGGTCCTGTTCTTTCTTGTTGTTGACATATCGGTATTCTTCAAAAGCTTATATTCTAAGTTTTATCCTCGAAATATCATCTTCCATCATCTTCTTACTTTTGCTCTCTTTCCTTTCCTCAATGTATTCTTCTCCTCCAATTATTGGGATCCTTTTCTCAGCAGTTTTTTCCTCTCTTCCGTATCTTCAGCTTCTTGAGTTGTTCTTCCAGTTCTCGTTGTCTCTTCTAAATTATTCCCCTTATCCAGGCATAATACACATCAGTCTATATCTCTTTCTATTTCTTTTTTACTAATCATTGTAGAATAAAATCCTCTTGAACATAAAGCACCTTTAATCTCCAAATCTTCATCGCTGTCTTCATCTTTGCTTTCATCAGAAATCGAATCTCTTGTATTCTTCTTCCTTCAACTTCCATCAGAGATCAAATCTCTAGTATCCTTCTTCTTTCCTCTCTTGCCAACTTCCTTCTAATCACAGAGTCATATCCACCCATGATCTCTTCTCAATCACTCTCATCTTCATCATCATCATCTTCTTCATCTTCTTCTTCAAGTTCCATCTTCCTTAACCTCACTCTTCTCTTCCAGACATCTCATTTTCTTCCTTTTGGAGTTTTCTTTTATCTTTATGGTCGTTTCTGCTTTTCCTCTCTCTATTATTCAATCACTTTCATCATGTTGATGACATCAGGGTTAAAATTCCCTCTACTGGCTATGTTTGTTCAATGTCAGGCCAACTTTTATTCCCCTTTCCCAGATAACCTTTAGTTAATAGTATTGCAAGGTTTACTATTTTCAACTGGTGTAATTACTTTCATAGTTCTGATGTCCTTTTCCCCCCTTGTAACAACTATTTTATATTCCTTTATTGTAAATTATTTCATTATTTTAGACTATATAGCCTATAGTTTCCTCCCTATTTTTTCTCTCTTTCTATTTTTTTTTCTTCTTCCCCAAATTAATTAATTAATCAATTAATTTATTCATCAATTTATTTATCTATTCATTTTATTTTATTTTACCAAATTATTGATTAGTGGCAATCTTACCACATCCAATCAGGAAATTAAATGAAAGTAGTCAACTTCAGAGCAACCCAAAAATAAAGACTTCTAATCCTACAACACTACAATCCTCATAAACCCATTGCTTAATAAGCACCCAATTATCCTAATTTTACAGAATAATGTCAGTAC